CACCACACCGGACCTACACACGTATCAGACCGACACCACTGCTCAACTCCGTCTTCGCACGCTGGTACGGATGGACCAGCTTGGATACCCATCTTTCCGGTTTTAGTAGATTACATTTTGCTCTCCTCTGATCATATATTTATTCCGGGAACATGTTAGCCCAATGACAGACCTTGTTTTATTTCCTTTCTTTTTCTTTTTCTGTTTTTGTCTTCCTATTGATTGTGAGACTATGTCGACTGTAGTTGTTTGATATTTGGGCCCGTTTTGGGGTCTTGATCTATGTACAGGTTGGGGATCCAGCCCAATCCCCCGCCCCGGGGCGTTGTTTTTTTTTTTTTAAAAAAAAAAACCTAGCACCATAAAAAAACTAACCTAGCACATCAGATAACTAACCTAGCACAATCATACAACTAACCTAGCAAATACTAACCTAGCACAATCATACAACTAACCTAGCACCATCAGACAATTAACCTAGCAACTACTAACCTAGCACAATCATACAACTAACCTAACACAATCATACAATCAACCTAGCACCATCAGACAATTAACATAACATGCTAGGTTATTTATATTTAATTGCAAGTTTAGTTGTCAACGGTCAACGCCGGAAGTCAACGGTCAATGCCGGAAGTCAACAGATTTTCATCGGAAGTCAATGTTGGAGTCAACGGTCAACGCCGGAAGTCAACGGTCAACGCTGAAGTCAACAGGTCAAAATAATATTTAAATAATTAAAATAATAAAAAGAAAAGATTAAATCTTGGCCACACATTATGTACCAAATCTTGTGGCTAGAAATGAGCCTCACGTCCTCACTTTAAGAACGTGGATGCATTGGAACCAATCCCTAATAATATATATATTTTAATAAAAGGTATTTAAAGTTCCAATTACTTTTTCTCATTAATTTTAGATTTTAAAGAAAAAATTAGAAAGCACTCGTGTAAGGGTGTACTAGTTTTTTATAAATGTGAATTTTTTTTATTCCTATAAATACTTCTCAACGGAGGTCTCTTTTTAGGCGGCTATATTCCTCTCTCTGTCAACATCCATTGTATTTGTATCATCACCACCCAACAAATTTTTATGGGCTTCGTCACACTAAACAGAGTCTCTATACACTTGTTTTTTTTTTTTTTACCAAACGAAGAACATTATATTGAAAAACTCACAAAGCAGTACATCGGTAATCAAAAGATTACAAGTTCCCGAGCAAGAGTAACCACTCCCCCCTCAAAGACCATCAAGGCCTGACAAAGAAAAACAACAGAAACAGCAAAACCTAATAATCAACTAAAAAAATCTACATAACAATGTTTTAGCAAAGCAAAGATAGCATCCCATATACTCTTGGAAGTATTATCAAGAAGAGATTGCTTTGAAAGAGCACAAGCCACATTAGCATCAGAGATCCTGCATTCAAAGTTTGTCCATCCCAACTCAATAATCTGTTTAAGGCCCTTGTGAACTGCCAGAATAAGACTTTCTGCATGAGAAGTAGCTTCCTGGAATCTCTCTTGCCAATGGAAGTTCAGGACCATATCTTTGCCAGCTTTACAAGAAATAACAGAGGTACCATCTTCAGGAGGTAGAGCACTGATAGCCAGAAATGGCTTACCTACCCTGTTGGAAAATTCTCCTGAAGGGTAGTTCCCTGCAACAAGCTTCCCACCTTGATTCAAGCTAGGCTAGTCAAGCTTAAAATACCATTCTAACCATTCACCTTTAGCTGATTCATCAATTTCCTTGTCATGGATCCAGTCCCCTTTGAAGACCCATTTGTTCCTAGCTTTCCACAGACTCCACAAGAAAATGGCTGACAGGCACATTCTATCCACCAGATGAGCATTATTCTTAGCTGAGCACAAGGTCTACCACCAATCTGAAAATTCCCACCATTATGTGATTGAAAGTCCCAATCCACTCCTAGCAACTTCCAGCATGTTTTAGCTCTGCAGCAATGGAAAAAAATATGGTCTAAATTCTCATCTTCTGAACCACAAACTTTGCAAATCCCATCTAACTTGATGCCCTTCTTCTGAAGTGGAGTGTTGGTGCTGACATAGTTAAACCAACACCTCCATAGGAAGTGCTTAACTTTTGGCTTGATAGGGAGAAGCCAAGTTTTTTTCCACATTCTCTTCCACTTATCCTTGTTATCACTGGAAGAAGCCTGGTCCTTTCCTTTAAGCTGAGAGATCATGATGGCTTTATACACATCCTTGACTGAAAATGTTCCTTTTTTATTCCAGTGCCATATCAACTTATCCTTGCAGCCTCTAAAGATAGGAATCTCGAGATTATTAGCTGCATCCACAGGATCAAAGGTTTGTAATATAAGCTCAGAGTCCCACCCACTACCCTCTCTCTTCATAAGCTCGCAGACTCTCTCTAATCTCCTTCTATCCCCCCTAAACTAACACTCTGGTTTGAAAGAAGAAATGTTGGGGACCCAAGGGTGATCCCAAATATTAATAGTCTGCCCATCCCCAACCTGGAACCTCATACCTAAGCCTAAAACTTCCTAGCACTTAACCAACTTTTTCATAACCAAGAATCTTAGCTCTTGGCTTTAACATCCATAAGATTCTCTCCCCTCAGATACCTACCCCTCAAAACCCTACTAACAAGAAGATTAGGCTCAGTAAGAAGCCTCCACAACTGCTTGACAATCAAAGACTCATTAACAGACCTAAGATCCCTGAACCCCAAACCCCCCATAGATTTAGGAACAACCAACTTTCCCCACTCAGCCCAGTGAATCATATTCCCCCCATTTCAGAAGTACCCCACCAAAATGATGCAATATCAGCAGTGATTAGATGAATAATAGAAATTGGAATTTTGAAACATGACATAACATAGGTAGGTAAAGCAAGAAGCACTGATTTGATCAAAGTTTCCCTACCTGCCTCACTGAGAAATTTGTTTTTCCAACTCTTAAGTTTATTCTGCACACACTCTCTCACAAACATAAAAGTATCCCTTTTGGATTTTTCTATCCCTAGAGGAAGACCCAGATATTTGGAAGAAGTAACTCTGGGAATACCATTCAGAATTTGACAGATTTGATCTTGAACACTATCAGGAGTGTTCTTGGAAAATAACACAGAAGATTTCTCAAAGTTAACTAACTGCCCGGAATCATGACCATAGCAAGCAAGCATATCAACAATAAGAAGAGCATGGTGGACATCTGCTTTGCAAAAAAATATAGAGTCATCAGCAAAGAAAAGATGAGAGGTCACTAGGGCAGACCTACCTATCCTAATACCATGAAAAGACCCACTAGAACAAGCTTGACTGACTAGGTTAGACAGAGCCTCAGAAACCATAATGAACAAATAGGGGGATATGGGATCCCCCTGCCTAATACCCCTAGAGGGCTGCACAAAACCCAACACAGAACCCTCAATATTGAAAGAATAGGAAGCTGAGCAAACACAAGCCAAAATCCAAGAAATAAAAATGTCACAGAAACCCATTTTCCTACACAACTTAGCAAGAAAGGAACATTCAACCCTGTCATATGCCTTGGCCATATCAAGTTTTATTTTCATATAACTCTGGTTTCCTTTTCTCTGGCTATTTAAAAAATGCACACATTCATTGTCAAACGGTCAACACCGGAAGTCAACAAATTTTCACCGGAAGTCAACGCCGGAGTCAATGGTCAACGCCAGAAGTCAACGGTCAATGCAGAAGTCAACAGGTCAAAATAATATTTAAATAATTAAAATAATAAAAAGAAAAGATTAAATCTTGGCCACACATTATGTACCAAATCTTATGGCTAGAAATGAGCCTCACGTTCTCACTTTAAGAATGTGGATGCATTGAAACCAATCCTTAATAATATATATATTTTAATAAAAGGTATTTAAAGTTTCGACTACTTTTTCTCATTAATTTTAGATTTTAAAGAAAAATTAGCAAGCACCCGTGTAAGGTTGTACTAGTTTTTTATAGATGTGAATTTTTGTTATTCCTATAAATACTTTTCAACGGAGGTCTCTTTTTAGACGGCGATATTCCTCTCTCTATCAACATCCATTGTATTTGTATCATCACCACCCAACAAATTTTTATAGGCTTCGTCACACCAAACAGAGTCTCTATACACTTGTGCTCTCATAATCTCCATACTCTCCCCCGCAACTAAAACCCAAACCACATTTTCATTTTTTCCCCTTTTAATTTCCATTTTTCATCGTTTTCTCAAATAAATAAATAATTATATGTCACCCACATTTTCTCCCTTCTCCCTCTATGTCACCCTCATCATTTTTCTTTCCATGCTTCAAGGTACCAAATAAATCTACTGATTTCCATCTTATTTATTTATTTATTTATTTTTTGGCAATTTCAACTATCTATTTACTATTTAGCACTTACTTAATTTTTCCTACTCCCTCCTTTTTTAAATAAATGTCGTTTTGACTTTTTTGATTCATCCATTTTGCTATGTATCTAGACATATTAATGTCTAGATACATAGCAAAATGGATGAATCAAAAAAGTCAAAACCACATTTATTTAAAAAAGGAGGTAGTAATTGTTTTCTAATACTAATTAGGCGGGTTAGGGACTACATTCACTTTCGTAAGCAGATGCGACTACACCGTGTGGCCGGGGATACTCTCCAGCGCCGGCAGCTCCGACTTGAGCTCCACCGGTTTCCAACTCGAACCCGGTTCGACCCGCTCCTTCCTGGCCCGATCCTACTGGTCCGGCCGGTTCTGGGGTCGAACCGGCTGCTCCTTCGACCCGTCCACCGGCCAGGGCTCCTGCGTCACCGGCGACTGCGGCTCCAACCGAATAGACTGCGACGGGGCCGGCGCCACGCCGCCGGCCACCCTCGTCGAGTTCACGATTGGCTCCGGCGGCGCCCAGGACTTTTACGATGTCAGCCTCGTCGACGGGTACAACCTGCCGGTGATGGTCGAGGCCTCCGGCGGGTCGATCTGGTGCGCGGCGGATCTGAACCGGATCTGCCCGAAAGAACTGCGGGCGGGGGGCGGTAGGGCGTGCCGGAGCGCGTGCGAGGCGTTCAGGAGAGATGAGTACTGCTGCAGCGGAGCGTACGGATCGCCGGCGAGCTGCCGGCCGTCGGTGTACTCGGAGGTTTTCAAGAACGCTTGCCCGAGGTCGTACAGCTACGCGTACGATGATGCCACAAGTACGTTTACATGTACGGCGGCGGATTATACGATTACCTTTTGTCCTTCACTCGCAAGGCTCGTCAAAGAGAATTCCTTTTTTCTTTTTTTTTTTCATTTGGAAAATATAAATATAAATAATCACTTTTATTTACCGTATGATTCACCATATAGTGCACATTTAGGATATGTTCCTTTATATATTATTTCAATTTATACTCAAATTCACACTCAATATATAATTAAACTTTAACTCAACTACATTATTTTTTTATATTACTAATATAATTAAATAATATCAATAAATTATTCATACACACCACATTAACTTTAATTCATTATTTATCAGCGAACATAATTTTAACTAAACATCAGTTCACATCATATCTCTCGTACTTTTATATTAATTCAACTTATCTTTCATATTTATACATTAACTCAACTTTAAATACATTATTTTAATATAAACTCAAATTTCTACTGACAATTACTCGTTCCAACTTTTTCAATTTTAAACTTAATTAACAAAAAAAAATCTCGCTAATAATGCAAATGATTTAATTTTACAACTTATAATTTCCACTTTTTTATTGATTATATTGGTTTATATATTTATATCATCTTTTAATTGGGGTGAACATATAAAATCATTTATCTCATAATTCATGCAAAACTTTAATGGAAATAGCTACAATCCTGTGACAGAATGATTCCATGAGGATTTTAGCTATAATAATTGTCTAATGACCAAAAACCCTCACG